AGCAAGGCTACGATGCCACAACAGGAACCACTCGCTCTTCAAGGGATTCTTAGGTGCATCCTCGATCGTGGATCTTCTGCGTTCTTTCACTTCGACTTCTTGAATTGGCACTTGGTGAAACAAAGGAGAGGACATCCTTCTTGGACCGCAAGCCCTCCTTCTTATAGGTGGACGAAGCCCGCGGACGACGCCAGGATTTTTTCAAAGACTTAGTGAAAACCTTCCAGGACAGCGAAGGGGAACTGGGTGACGGTTCCAACATCCTGTCAATTTTTCAGGATAGAGGATCACCGGTTGTTAGCCAATCATGTATCACCGGTTGTATCATGTTTGGTGCCTGATTTTGACTGCTTAAAGTATGTCCTTTTCTACTCCTGATGGAGTGCTATCCAATTGCTAAAGATCAGCCATGCGTTTCAGTCTTCTTGGTGACTCTCAAATGAACACCCCCCTGGCGCATTGTTGGGCCTTGATCAACGGCTAAAGAGGCACAAGCCTGGAGCAAGTGTTTTCCTGGGTTTTTTGGACCCTAAGCGTCCCAGGACCCGATGCGGTCCTACCAGTTGGAGCCCCCAAGACTCAAAGACCAATGATCCAAACAGGGACCAAGGGACCTCGGCAGATTTGATTTGCTCTTCAAAGCCATGTTTCTGCAGTTCGATGATGTTCGATGTGACTTTTTGGAAAGGTTGTGCAACACACGGAGGGAAGGACTCAGGTCTGGTCACTGGTTTCCCGAGGCACCAAACAGGTCTGAGTCAAGCGTCGACTTCTTAAGGACGAAAATTTTCAAAAAGCCATGGCTGAAGCCATGCAGCAGGTGGGCGGATGTGCTTCATGTGGGTGTGGGTGTGTATTAAAATAGGGAGACCTCCCAGCTCGACCCCCTGGAAGAAGGGAAATTGACCAGTCTTCCCATTGGGCAAGGGGGTCTCCCTGTAAAAATACACACCCGTGTGTTGGGCTGGTGACTTTGGCTGCGGATGTTGTGACCTGAGTCATGAGCAATGAGTAAAGGTTTGGAACTGATTCCTGCCGCTGCGACGGACTAGACGATTTCTGGATCAGACCGAAAGGCCATCAGTTTTGGGCGAGTTGAAGACAAACATGCAGGCTAGTTGGAAGAACCACTTGATCAGAATGGGATCGGACTGACTGTCGATCTCCAAATTGGGCAATTTGGGGCCTCCTGGTGATGTCAAACACCTGATGTGACGGAAGAGTCTCATGCTCCACCCCTTCTACAAAAAGTTTATTCTTGGGTCCATTTGGAAGCGTGATTCTTCAGCCATGTGTTTTCGCGCAGTTTTTCTCGTATAGCTGGGTTTGTGAGAAGGAAAGGAGCAGCGAACGAATCATCACTGCTAAAGTGGTTCAGTACTAGTCCTTCGACGTTCTGGAACTCGATTTCCGGTCGCTTTGCCAAGTTCCCTCATTTTCATCCCAACGCAGAAGTCAGTAATGACCATCCCTTGTGAGGAGGTTGCTAGGGCACAAAACAGTGCCACAAAGGCCACAAAGGTCAGTCAGAGCTTAACAGCAGGGACATGTCTCTCACGGACTTTCATCATCCATGTCAATGTCATGATATCAAAGGCAGCCAATGGTTCTACTTTGAGCTTCGGAGGGTCTCCCTACTTTCAAGCGAACACATGTGAGAGGGGGCATTCAACAAACCCGCTCTTTTCGCGCTTTGTTGATGGAAAGGTGCACCCAATCCACCGCAAGTGCTAATCTACATGAGTGGGCCTCAAAGTTAGGCCACCAAAGCTGGTTAGCCCATGGGATTACTTGGAAACACATGGTTAGGCCATGGGCTCATGATTGGTTTCCGGAGATCCTCCCCGCAGTTGTTGGTTATACCCGGTCCACCTACTGACTGGGCACAATGAGACGGTTGGTTGTGATTTAACCGACAGCAAGCCGACCGCCCGACAGCGGACGGACGCTGCAAATGCTTCCAGTGCTGTTTCAAGTTGTGACATACAGTCGATATTCCCTCAAGGATTTTTGCGAGGAGTTGAAGCGGCGGCAATGGGTTCCCTAAAGAACTGGGCTGGTTTATGGAATCTCTGCCCATCTGCCCAGACTGCAGACTCAAAGGCTGAGTCCAAGCTTGGGAGCCTAGACGTCGCGAGAAGCGTCTTTGTGTGGAATGGTAACGGCCGAAGATCGGAAGCAAAATAGGTGCACCAAACACATCATGCCAGGAGCCCCTACTAGTGTCCTTGCTCCTAGTAGTAAGGCCAGGAGCCCCTAGTAGCTTCTTGTTCCTAGTAGTAGCTCCGTTCGTAGCAAATGGCCAAAGATCGGACGCAAAATGACAAATAGGCTGCCGGCGCTTTGAAGCATGCAAGGCGTTTCTAAAGGGTGGGATCAAAAGACGTCTCACCAGTGGCCCTGCGAAGTCTTCAGCTTTGAAAGGTCTGATGCCGAATGTCCGAAAACGACTTCTTCTTTCATATCGAATGCGAAGTAGATGTTGATAAGCCAACGTCCAAGTTGGTAGGCGCAACGGACAAGAGCAAGAACAGAACAGGTGAGAGGCCAACGGTCTGGATCCAGTGTGCAGTCCACACAAGAACCTCCTGTCACCCTGGAATCACGGGTCTGCGGAGTTCGAACAATTTTTGAGGAAGAGGACGCTGACTGTTCACCTAGCCATACTATACTATGGTGTTCGGTTGGATGAGATACTGGACGCAGTATCTTGTTCCCTGTGGGTCATCCTGGGCAGAGTTAAGCCGCAGCTGGAGGACACACCACACCCATCGTGACAAAGGCTTTCTCGTTTCACCGAGGGCTCTTCGGGACTGGCATTCCAACCGCACGCACACCAATCTCAAGTTTGTGCGTTTGCCGTGCAATTCTCTCAGGCAACAACGAAGCGTTGGTAGTCGTGTCCGTGTTCTACATAACACATTGCTCATCATGTCTGCGTCCCACGTAACAACAGCACGAAACGTGACGAAGGTGGCAACTAGAAACTAGATACTAGGGTGCAACATATTTGACATCTCAATGATTAGTGGAGGGTTTGACCTGTGTGATTTGCATAGCAAGGCCAGGGAGCTGTTGACTTTGAAGGATGAGTTGTCAGTTTCTGAACGCACACGTCCCTTCTCAGTCAAATCAGTACAGTATGTATTTAGAGCGATTAATTGATGGAACAAACTGCTCTCTCAAGACTCTTGGTTGGAAAAGACACAAGAAAGAAGTGGAACTGGGTGATATCGTGTGATATCCAAAGGAGCAGGTGGGGGTCACATCTGGGTCACATCTGCCAGTACGTGGAAGGTCTTGACTAAGCGGGCAGGATTCATCCGGTATATAACTTAACCGTAAAACTCTCAAGGTCTGTTGCATTCTGATCACTGATGGTTAACGAACAGTTATGAATGGTGCCCAACTCTGAACGCTTTTGAACAGTTGATTTAGCGTGCGCGCTGGTCTTCAGCAATCATCCGCAACAACAACACGGGGCGCCGGTAAAATAGCCGCAGATGTCCGCAGGAAAAGACTGCTCGTTTGTCCTTTCTTTTTTTGCATTGGAGTAAGTAGGAAAAGCACGTTTCATTGCCCGAGGCCTTCAATCACAGAGGCGGGCCCTGATCTGAAGCACCACGTGAGCAGGTCAAGTTCAGAGATCCCTGCTTAGTAGGATCAGAAGATGCAGGGACTAGTGCTGATCCACTCAGATGGAGGCTTCAACCTGACGGGGGTTCATTCATCTTGGTGGAAGCAGAGATGTTGTTCGTTCCGAGTCTGAGCAGTCAGGACAATTGGCACAGATGTAAAACCGTCCAATGGCGTTTGCTGTGATCGCGTTTGCTGTGGCATACCTCTACTGACTTGCGTCAAAATAAGGGAACCCCACAATGGGTTCTTGAGTTCCGGTAGCTGAGAGGTGAGACACGTAGACAATCCAAGGTCAGGTCAGTTGTGCTTCAGGCCGCTGCGCCCGCGAGCGCGCCTGCCGCAGCTGCACTTGCAAGCGCGCCCGCCACGTCCGCCGCGCCTGCCTCGGCAGTAGCATCTTCCGCGGACTCCGGGGCAGAGGCGCGAAGCGGCGCGGAGTGAGGATTTGGAGAGCGTCGCGGGACCTGTTTGTGAGTGTCTGATATCCGAAATCCCAAAGAAATGGTAGGGAGTGTAGGGATCGCTTGTCAGGTTCGTTTTGGTAGATTCACCCCCGAAGCCTGAGGTACGTTCTCATGCTGTCTATTTGTTTCCCGCTGCTGTGCAGCTGGCTGCACAGCTAGCCTCGCTGTCAAGGACTTTTTTGCAGAGCTTTGTGAAGAGCTTTGACCAAGCTGCTGGCGGGAGACCCGAGATATAGCTGTTCTGATGCAAAGGGTCGGAAGAGGATTTCTTCTCGGAATTTGACTCAAACACACTGTCAAAGTCCCTTTTAGACCTTGGTCCCATCCGAATAGCATAGGCCAGCACTGTTAATTTAAGAAGACCAAAGGTTTTGTTGTGGGATGCAACTCCGTGGCCACAGGGTACGATCGTTTGTGAGACAGTGAAATTAAGTTCGCATGAAAAGCCAACACAGAACAGAACACCACTGGAAATTTGACTGGCAAGCACTAGTGTCTAGTGTACCTCATTTGTGGCTTGGGGCCACCAAGCTGTCCGGCAAAGCAAGAGGCTCACATGAATCATTGGAGGTTTGCGCTGATTATTCCATTCGTAGGGCTCAAGAAGAGCCTTTTCGACGGTGACATATGCACAGGCCCAGTGGATCTTTCCAAAAGACTCGAAAACAAGAGCCAGAACGAGCCGGAACGAGCCAGAAAGTCCCTGCTTTCCGTGAACATGGAACTCAAATCCGCTTGCTAGATTGGCATCTTTTTTCATGGCTTTGTGCAGAGCAGAAGCCGGGTCGCTTCAACCTTGTCACTGCAAACCTTTGCACCCAATCGATTTGTTTCATCCACAGCGCCACAGCCGACTGCCAAGGTTCGGACAAGGACTTGGAGAAGCAGCTGACGAACATGATGACGTTGCCCAGACAAAGTTTGGTTGAGTGTTTGTGGCCTCAACATGCAAACAGTGATCTCCCAGTATAAATCCAACTTTTGTTTGCAAGCAAAGAAGGAGGAGCACCTGCTTGTTGCCCCGTGTTGTAGCCCCTTATTTTGAACAAAGCATTGTAGATGTTGCCCAGGCAAGGGATTCAGAGCTTTCATCGTCCGGGTGACTGTGGCATCGTCCGAATCAGGTCCATGCTCTCCAACGATTTGCTGACGGATTCGCTACAGCAGATAGCTGATGCGTCTGGGACTCAGTTGCACCAGAGGCGCATGGCAACCAGGCCTCTAGCTCTCGGGTTCGGTGTCTACCTTTTAACATTTTAGACATTTGATTCTTTTCTTCCATCGCCTTTAGCTCCTGACCTGTATTGACTTGTTGTAGGGGTAACTCCATTTGTGTCGGGGTCGACTGCTTCTATGTATATGACTGTATGGGACTTGTGAGAGGTGTCAGAGTTAAATTCTTGGCAGCGCAGAAACCGAGATTTGTTGGTCGCCTTCCCAACATCCTGCATACACAACCTCAAATGAGTCGGTTTCTGCAGCTCCCAAACTTTTTTTTTCCTCAATTAAGAGCGGCCCAACCCGGGGCCCCAGAATTTGATCCAGGGTTCCTGCAGAAGCCGATTCTGTTGCTGCTTACAGGCAGACAAAACTCCTCAAATGCCTCCCTCGTCCGAAAACACTTCCAGGACCACACAATACACGTTCAATCACGCTCAGAGAATCGGACAACTCTCACGGAGATAAAGCAGGTACGGTCTCACTTGTGGCCTGAGTGACAAACATGGTAACTGCGTCCCTAAGGGGCCGTGCGGTTTAAATGTTTTTGAACGCATCGTTTGCTAGCAAGTGTTTATTCACGTCGCTTCGCGACGGTAACCGCCCGCACCGCATGAGAGGGCTCAAAGACTGCAGTCATGCTCCAGGAACGGGTCAAGGTAGGTACTTCCATTGAACATAGCCCCAGAAGTCATGGAAGCTATGTTGAGCCACGTGAAACTGTTACCGTTCCTGGACCTGATCTCTGCTTATCTCTGCTCCTGTGGAGCCACATATCCGGACATTCAAGTCCCTATCTCGCGGACACGTCCTTTGGATAGTGACTTCTAAAGCTATGTTAGGCAATATGGAAGCTATGTACGGTCACGTTGGGGGGGCTTTATTCCAATCCCTTTTGAGCCCTCGTTGGGCTATGTTTACGACGTTCAAGTCCCTATCTCGCAGACACGTCCTTTAGATAGTGGCTTCTGGGGCTATGTTAGGCAATCTCTTTACTTTATTCCAGTCCCTTTTGAGCCCTCGTTGGGCCATGTTTTGCGTTCAAGTCCCTATCTCGCAGACACGTCCGTTAGATAATGACTTCTAGGGCTATGTTAGGCAATATGGAAGCTATGTTGAGCCACATTAGGGGAGCCTGTTCAGCCAAATGTCCGGCCTCAGTCCAATTACACTTTACCGCGCAGATGATTCAAATCATGCAAAGGAAGAAAATGGCATTTCTTGCATCACCAGGGGCTTCAAAATAGCACGAATTCATCTTCCAGCATTTTAAGCCGGTTCCACAAACGTGAAAAAACACAGGATTCTAGAGCGAAAATGCACCCCCCCCTAGCTAAAGCTATTGGCTTGCATATGCTAGCTTACGTATAGCGAGTGCCCTATAAAAACGCCTCGGCACCTTCGGTGCGGGCGGATTCTACGTTTCCGAGCGAAGCGAAGCGAATCGAATCGAATCGAAACCATTTCTTGCCCAATAGAACCCCACCCCACCCCATCCATGGCATAGCATCAAGTATGTTTGCAGGTACAAGTGACGTGAAAACCACGAAAACTAAAGACATGCATAAACGCGCGGCCCCTTAGGGGCGCAGTTTCCAAAAACATGACTGAGTAAAACAGGTATCATGCAGTAGGGTCAAAAGACAACCGGTGCACACACACACACACTCTGAAGTGCAGCTTCTGAGGCTTGAGCCTTGGTTGAAGACCAAGAAAGGCCGTCGGAGCCGCATTGAACTCCGTCGAACCATGGCGTTGGGCCGCAACTGCCAGCGCTGGTTTGTTCGGGTGTTTGTTGTTGAACATCGTTTGGTTGGCAAAATGTGTTGGAACTCGCAGCCCCAGAAAAGACATGAAACGATATTGGGGTGGTACTTTCTTCATTTGAGCCTGACTTAAGCTTGCACGGCTTGGATGCCACACAGACTAAGCATCCTGGACAACCAAGAGTCCAAAGGAGCATTTGTGGTAAGATGTTCGAGTGCAGAGATTGCTGCTTGCTTTGTTCGTGAATTATGCGTCGAATTTGTGTGATTCCAGACAGATTTTATGATTCATAGTTCGTGTTCTGGGACAAACTTTGTACTTCGGGATTTGTACTTCGTCCTTCGTGAGTGTGATTCGGAACACATGTGTTTATTTCATTTAAATTTCTGGTTCGTGATTCGTCCGGATTCCTCTCCGGATGCCTCGGATTTCTGGTTTGTGCGCCTGGTTCTTGCATGGCAATCCCAGCGCCTGGTCGGAGGCTTGGCAAAGGCCGACCGCAGCCGCTACGAGGCCGGAGCTCCGATGGCGGGAGCCGGAGAGGTTGCGACTAGGCCCCCTGAAAGCCTCCAAGCAGCACGAACCATGGCGAACTCATTGGTTGGTGGGTCAAGGCGGGGGGCCCTGGTTGGCTGAAGATAAACGGGCAACCTAGCAGGAATGAGGTTTTGACCCACAACCATTTACTTTCCCATACCTTCTGGGCGTTGGAATTTAGGGAGTCTCGACCAATGACAAAACGATGGTCGGTGGCGTTTCTCTGCACTCGCAGAACTTGTCATAACTTGTCCATCCGTCGTGATTTTTTGTGGCCTTAACCAAAATGGTGTTGTTCGGAGTCAGGATTTGTTCCCCTCCTTGAATTTTCAGTTGTGCCCGCCCTTTCTGATCACATTTTGAAGGCACGTAGGATTGAAGGCACAGCCACATCAACCTCATCCACTTAAGGAATGGACGGGATGCTTGCCTGGTGGATTGCAGAAAAAACTCAACAGACCGTGGCAGCCTGGGCGCGCCAGGCCATGCTTCGGCTATACAGATCCATTGTAGGTGTCTACAAGCACCCTTGGCGCGTGTTGTCAGAGGTGCCTCAGGAATTTGTGACTTCAAACATGACCACTTCAAGCTGATGATCCATGAATCCTGGATTCCCTATAAGCCAGTTTAGAAGTATTTACTTAGGAATATAACTTCTGAATCTTAGGATGCTTTGTTGATCCAAAGTGCTTCACTGTTCATGGATACTGAATGGACAGTCCCTGGGGTTCAAAACCAACATCCTTTGCAGGACCCATTGTTTTGGTGGTCCATCGAGACAGTCATCGCTTGAGGAGTCCCAATCATAACACGTAGGGCTTGTAACTCCGCTACCCAATGTGGATGTGCTTGGATCACATGTTGTTGATGGTGTCTTCCGCATTCCAATGAATTGATTCCCTCGATACGTTTGCTTCGCGGTGTGCCGTGTCCTTGCTTTGCTCTGTGTCCATCTGAGCTGGCCAGATCCAATCCTGATCCCTTGCCAGACTTCGCACGCGACCAGGAGAGAGGGCCAGAGAGGGTGGAGATTCGGATCTCTCATAGCTGTGATTTGGTGGCTATCCATCCATCCATCTATCCATCTATCCATCTATCCATCTATCCATCCATCCATCCATCCATCCATCCATCCATCCATCCATCCATCCATCGATCGATCGATCGATCGATCGATCGATCGATCCATCTATCTATCTATCTGTTCTTGTGAAAATCATGGGGGTTGGGCATCCAGGTTTCCTCGCGATTCGGGCCAATACCAAGTGTCTCTCGTCTCGAGAGGCTGAAATGACCCAAGCAGCAGACAGCCTTGTTGGTCACAAAAAGAATCAAAAGGCAATTGTTGGGCAGTACACTGGAGGCTTGCTGCATCAACTCGCAGTGATTCGCAGCCTCTCGAGATGTAATGACCAGATCGCGATCAGCAGGGCATCATGTGGGGTCGGCTGGTCAGCTCCGCGATCAGGTGCAGAGGATGTTGGCGGAACTTCAGACCCTCGGGAATCCGCCAGATGAGGTCATGGCTGAGGTGGGGGTTTTGGAGGTTGTTGGAGGTGGTTTAGCGGGTTGCATGATGCAGGAACGTCAAAGAACTGCCCAGAATCTGGAAGGACAGTTTGCAAGTCCTTGCTTCCTTCTAGCACCCAGCATACAAGAAAACTACTGGCACAACTCACATGTCCCCAAATCTCCTTCCCAAGCAGAACATGAACCAAGAAGTGTCCCAAAAAGGATTCAAGCACATCCAAGCAAGTTGCAGTAAAGCACATTTAAAAAAAACACACACACGACACAATGCACACACACACACACACACACCAAATTGGAGTTTTTGACACCGACCTCGGATCGACCTGCACCACACGCCGGACCCAGCTGGTGTGTCCCGCGAACGAATGAGAAGCTGTGAGAAGCCACTTGCGAGGACCCCCCGTACAAGCCCGTACAAGGTTGCTTTTGGGGGTCTTTAGAACACGAATGAATGTTGCTCAACGGGAAATGAATCGATTGCTCACAGCAGATATCTTTCAACACATTCAAAGCACAGAGCAGACGATGAATTCAGGTATGTATATATTACCATATTACCCTTACCGACACCGACATTCTCACATCACCTCATCCAATTCGAATCCAAGTCTGGCTCAAACGTACGGAACACAATGGAACACAGCATACCAGGTTTCTCTTCAAAGCTTTTCTTTCTACAAGAGAAGTAATGGGTCAGTCAGTCGGGAAGATATTGTAAGGACGCCAGACTGAGCTTGAGAAGGCCGCGAAAAGGAGACGAAAGCAGATCCAATGCACCCGGGTTGTCACGCCCATCCGAACGGCCAGATTGTTCCAAAAGAGGTGGCCGAAGGGGGCGAGAGCTTTGAGGCGGCCGAAGGGGGCAGTACTTTAAGGCTTCAACACTGTTGGAGTTTACTGTTTTTTTGTGTGTTTTTAATGTGGACAGTACCCTCTGTAGAAAGATTCCTTGACCAAGTGTAGAATCTCTTGAAGAGGTGTTGTTATTCTTTGGAGCAGGCAATGGCATTGTGCCTCGTTGTTTGTGATCATCAATCTATACTGTATCAATCTGCATTTTTTGGCAGGTGGCAAGGGAATTTGGCCATGTGAGTTTTTCCCCAAACAGTTTACTGTTAGGGGTTCTCAATGCTTTACAGAATGGTCGCCTTGGTGCTGGATGGTCTGGTCGGGTTCCCGGCCGGCTTGTCTCTGACTTCCCTTCATTTGTCTCCCAGTTCTTTTCATTTGTCTCCCAGGCTGGGTGCTTGTGGTCGGGTTCCCGGCTGGCTTGTCTCCCACTTCCTTTCATTTGCCGGCTTGTCTCTGACTTCCCTTCATTTGTCTCCCAGTTCTTTTCATTTGTCTCCCAGGCTGGGTGCTTGTGGTCGGGTTCCCGGCTGGCTTGTCTCCCACTTCCTTTCATTTGTCTCCCACTTCTTTTCACTTGTCTCCCAGTTCTTTTCATTTGTCTCCCAGGCTGGGTGCTTGCGGTCGGGTTCCCGGCTGTCTTGTCTCCCACTTCCTTTCATTTGTCTCCTCTTCTTCCCAGCTCTGGACTGCTGTGTCTGCCTCTGCCTTGCAATCCTTTCATTTGTCTCCCAGCTCTGGACTGCTGTGGCCGCCTCTGCCTTGCAATCCTTTGTCTCCCAGCTCTGGACGTCGCAGGCTCTAGTTGCAGAGTGTTCCGATTTCGAAAGACACAAACTGTTTGGGGTCTACGGTGGTGTAATTGACCCACGCTGAATCTCCAACAAACCCTCGACATTCTTGAGACAAGACACAGATGATCAATTTGCTAGGGCTGGTAGGGGTCAATACTTCCGGAAATGCTTATGGTTCGCTTGAGCCGTCAGCTGTTTGGAAGTCTTCAGTGCTGACCGCCCTGCACAGGACATGATGAAAAACATGGGCCTGGATGCCAACCTGGCTGGTCCTGAGCAGGACAGGGTCGGCATGGCTGAGGTGACGGCCAACACGACGCTCCCGGTGGGGGCAACACCTAGCTTTTCAAATGACCAAAGTAGAAGAGTTGAGCGTGTTGCTTAACGAGGGTCGGATCTCAAAGCTCAGAAAAGCACCAGGCCTGAAAGCAAGAAGAGCTGCTTATTGTGCCTATTGTTCTTTGGGTGTGTGCAAACACTCAGCTGGGCGGGAACCAAAAAGGAGACCCTGCGAAGAATCCTTGGTCAGGAGAGTTTCCTCCCAAAGCGAGACAGCTGTGCAAACTGGGCATCGACCACTCCACTGAGGAAAAACGGTTGAAAGCGCAGCAGAGAAACTTGTTTCGTTGTTGAATATATTCCTTCGATCCACACTTAGGGAAACAGCTTTGGACAAATGCCACTGCCAGGATCTCATGAAGAAATTGGCGGATGACCCTGAGGTGGCCGGTTGAAAAGCTGCCTTCTCGAGAATGAGTTACTGTTTACAGTTTACACCTGTTCCCGTCGTCGAAAGGTCAGTGTGTTGCTTCTTGTGTTCCTTCACGTCAGTCCTTTTCTAAAAGAGTCGAGACTTGGACGTGGGAGATGACATACCGAAAAGGACAGATCCGAATCGATTTGGGTTCTCTCTCAACATCCCCTAGTTCACAGTGATACAGAGAAGGAGCATCAATCACTTCGGACTGCACCAAAGCGGTGTGGGGATTGGGTTTGTCTCCCTCCAGCTCAGCAGATAAAGAGCAAGCTTCTCAGCTCCCTGACCAAGCTTCTCAGCTCGAACATCAGGAACTCACGCGGGTCATGAAGGAAATGGCTGGAGGCATGCCTGAAGAGGCACTGTGGCGTTTGGCTTCAGAAAACCACTGAAGCCGCCTCTCCCCGACATGATAGACAAGTAAGGGGTGGGATTACGCGAGCACGTTTGGTCAAGTTTGCTTACAGATGTCATCCGATTTCTAGTAAAGGGTAGTGGTGGTGTTGGAGTAGTGTTTATGTTTTTGCTTATTTTGAATGGAGATCAGAGATGTTTTACCATCTAGATAGGGGTTTCATTAAACAATAGTCATCGTATTGAATTTTTGTTTTATAGCCTTTACTGCAATCATGGAATGCTCATTGAAGAATTCTGTGGGCAGGCATGCAAGCAGCAATAAAGCCTGCACTCCAAACGCAAATCTTGAAATCCAAGTTCATTGAAACACAATCAATAACACATATTGTAATCAAATATGCATTAACAAATATATATTGCAGAGGTTTACATATTAACGATATTTTAAGAATTATTATTTTAATCACGAAAGGTAGCCTGGTAAGGACTACTTTGAGTTTGCTTTGCGAAGCAAAGGGGCTGGCTTGAGAGCTTACTCGGGACTAAAAATTGGTAAATTAATGTCTAATATTCCCCATTTCTTCCCCCTCTTTTTATGTAATGAATGATTAATAAATCAATTGATTTGATTTCTTCCCCTTCTCTTCCCCGTTCCCTTTTTTCGTCGCTAGTATTATTAAATTTTGGATATAAGGTGAAATTATGTGCTTAATAATTACAATAATACGACATTGATTATGAGGTTGCATAATACATTACGAATCTTGCGTAATGAGGTTATGTAATACAACTTCGATGTCGCGCGTGCGCACCCGGCAGCTTGACACTGCGCGTATTACGTTTCTAGACCATATTGTTCGATACTAACGAGCATCGATGTAACATAGCTTCTTTGTAAATGTGGCTTCGACGTAACGCATGTAGGCCTGTAATTTTGACATAGTGCGTATAGCTGTGGGATTGTAATTGGTATAAATGCGAGGTATAGGTATTACGACTTTTACGCATATTTATTTGCATCTATCTAAACGTAAACGATTATCGACGTAACGTAACCTCTTTGTAGAGTTATATAACGCAATTTGATCACAACGGTGTTTTTCTTGAGCCTTCCTATGTTTTCTTGTGCTCTTTGGCTTTGTTGGTTTCATCTATACTTAATTAAGGGGTACGTTTTTGAAATACCGGAGATAGTCTCTTATTAGAAAAGGTCCCGACAATTACTCGGTCCGTCTTTACCTTTCGTAATTTTCCGCTCAAATATTAATGGATACTTTACAAAATAATTTTATTTAATTAATATTTTTTCTCCATATATATATATATTTATATTTTTCTAATATTTGTTTAAAATAATATATATATATAAATATTTTTAATTAATGAAAATAAAAATTATATATTTAAGGATTGCCGTCTTTGTCGTCGACTCCGGGGAGGTGCGTAGTAGAGGTTTTTGAGTTAGAGATTTATATTAGTATTGATGTTCTACGGGAAGGACGAATAGGAATGCGTTTTGTACGGAATTGTGGTCGCTTACGATGTTGGTGGTATGAGTTGTAGGTTGGAAAGGAATGAATAGGATTTGGAGAAAAATAGAAGACTAAAATATGGTAAATGAAAGATACGGAATCGTATAGAATCGTATTTGGTGTGGTAGAAAATAATAATTATTATGTAGTATGGAGTCTAAAACCGATGAATTGCGGTGACGTGAATATGCGAAACCGTAAGAACATAACGTCGTGGTATCGCGATAGGTCCGGGCCCCCGGTCTGCGCTTGCTAGTTGAGTGTGTTTTTGTTTTTAAGTTGCATATGTGTTTTTGAGTGCGGAAATTGATTCCCGTGGTTCAAAAATTTGTATCCTTAATATATAGATTGCGGACGGGACTGGATCTTGTAATGACGGTCTCCCGGCGACATTCTACGTTCAAGGATGTAGGCGTTAAGAAATCTGCAATGAAGAGATGTTCCGGCATCCGGCAAAAAGAATGCACAAAATTTAACGGTGGACATTGTTTGTCTTGAAAAGGCGAATCAGGTCTTGTGCAAATTAGTTCCTTGTGCTCACGACGTCATGGAATTCTTTAGTTGTCTACGTTTGGTTCCGATGGCCACCTCTGATTTCAATTTCAGGGCGTCAATTTCGTTGGACTTGGTTCATGGTTGGAACGCTTTGGAATCAAAGCGCAGGCAATTGGCGAAGAATTTGTACCTGACATAAAAGGATGTTGTTTGTATTTTCGCCAGACAGTGGCAATGAAGGAAGATACATATATATATATTATATATATATACATATTATACGTATATGTTTCAACTATATTATATCAGGTTTTTGCACGTGCATTGTATTGCACATATACATATTTGCGGCGTATAGCCGTGGTATTGCTTGCCAAGGCAAAAAGATGCAGGTCATATCCGCTTTTGCACCGATTCGGAGGCCGGGATGCGGAAGTGGGTGGACGGAAGCAAAGTTGGACAGGATACGAAACAGAGTTGTTTTTGCACGAAGCGCATGCTTTGATTCTATTGTGCTAGCTGTGATTGCGAGTAGAACCGGGAGTCGGAAAGCAGGAGTTGGGAGAACCGATACATGGCGGTGTTTTTTTATCGGAAGGTAAACTTTGTTGAAGGGATGGGGCGTCGTCGCCAGCAGGCCATGGCATCTGGCGGCCCACGTGCAACAGAGGTTGTACCCGAGAGGTGTGCTGTGATTGAAAGATTGTGTTTGCTAATGAGACCCGCTGTGGAGCGCTGGATCGAAGAAAAGCAGACGGACATTCAGTGGAAGTATCCCTGGACTGATGTGGATTACCTGGTCTGGGAACCCGACTATTCGTTGGCGGATATCAGCGCCTGGCCGCTCGACGCAATATGCGTGTTGGAAAACGAGGCCGTTGTCTACATGCTGGCAAGTTTAAAGGCGGCTGCTGCACTGCCAGAGGTCAATGCCAGATGTAATGTGCATGTGGACACGTTGGTGACATTGTGTCCGGCCGATTTGAAGAAGCCGGGCACGCCGAAAGATTGGCCAGCCTATTGCAGCAGATGCTGTGTATCCGGCCGATTCCGCCAGGGCGCATTTAACGACGGGTTTTTTCACGTCTTCTTCACGCACTCTAGCCTCCGAGAGCGCCAGACAAGGCCGATTCCGCCAGGGCGCAATGAACGCCGCGTCTGAAACCCTCAAGAAACAAAGAAAACCGCGTCGTTTTCACGTCTTTTTCACGCACTCCAGCCTCCGAGAGCGCCAGACAATAGCCCGATTCCGCCAGGGCGCAACTAACGCCGCGTCTGAAACCCTCAAGAAACAGACAAAAACACGTCTTTTTCACGTCTTTTTCACGCACTCCAGCCTCCGAGAGCGCCAGACAAGGCCGATTCCGCCAGGGCGCAACTAACGCCGGGTCTGAAACCCTCAAGAAACGGAGAAAACCACGTCTTTTTCACGTCTTCTTCACGCACTCCAGCCTCCGAGAACGCCAAACAAGGCCGATTCCGCCAGGGCGCAACTAACGCCGCGTCTGAAACGGAGCCCGCTGCTTCTTTTTGTTAGCCATGGGGACCAAGCAATTGGACGAGGGTCACAGTGCGCTTTGTGCTTGAGAAGTGCTCAACTGCTTGGTTTGGTTTCTTTAGAAAAAACCTTTGGTGGACATGAACAAAGGGCTTCATCTGAGAAATTCGCCTACGCAAACCTTGCGAATCGGCTTACGCGGGGCTTACGCGGAATTCGTGTGGTCGTGGGCCACTCGACCTCTGCAAACAGGGCCTTTGGAGATTGAATCCACAACCCTTTTCTGCTTGCAATGTTTCTCACCAAAAATTATACAAAAATATATTGGTTGTATAATTAGAAGACTCAAAATTGCTTTCGCACCTCTTACGCATCGAATGTCCTAAGCTTGGCTTCCACCGAACCTTCCACAACCCTTACGCCGTGCAGACTTTAGCTTACGCGGCAATCTTGCAATTCAATCGGATCATGTGGTTCTTGCATTCAGGTTTTGAACGGTACTCAGGTGGCAACAATGGTTGGCCATAAATATCGAACAATTAGATTCGTTACGGCTTCTGCTTCGGGCACAACTTGCGGACACGTCGGAACCAAAAAAAAATTAGTGACGTAAGGCCAACTCCGCACCTTCTTAAAGAAAATCTTCAAGCTTCTGTTTCTTATTCTGGCGATTATATTTACGAATGAATTTGTAAAGGCATCGGAACCGGATCAGATATTTCCATCATACAACAACAGAATTCACGATGCGATCATGCAAAACACGGACCGTCTTATGGACCTGCCACATAATAACTATCAATAAAATCATTCTTGAATTAATGGTTTAAGGAAGGTAAATTCTAATATAAATTAATATATTAAATCTCAATAAATTTAATTTTCGAAATTTTATTTCATTTAATCTATTTTAAAATATTCGATTTTATATAATATATTTTCTTAAATATTTTTAATATCGAATATTAAAGTAATTCGAACATTATATTTTAATATTTATATCATGTATTTTTTATTTTTTTAAATTCAATATCTATAAACCATTTTCATACCATAATTTACCATTAATAATTTTGTTCCTCCTTTCCATCTTTAATCCTATATCTTTTGCTTTTTCTATATATCTTTATTTATTTCCTTGTTTCAAAATTTATCAATATTCCTTATCATTAAATTAAATATACGTATATTATATTTTACTATATTATACGGCGAAATAATCAATATATATTATATATATTTTTTATTTTACTCTATTAATATTAATTTTATTAATAATATTATTTCATTCATTCATTCACTTCCAGCCTAAGTGAGGTCAGGCCCGTGTCGGGCAGCACAACAACAAAGCTGCGGTTGCTTCAAGAACATCTAGCCACAATCACGAAGCATGCGAAGCGAAAAATGCAAAGGCTCTAGTGGCCTATTCGGAAAAGGCCGTAGCCAGCAAGTCGGACAAATCGACGGCCTAGTCTTCTATAGATCGCCGCCACCATAAATTCATATCTTT